GGCAGGAGCAGGAGGTCCTCCTCCATCCGTGTCTCCAAACCCTCAAATTTCCCTGTTGCAAAATCAATTGGTGACAAGAAAAGTCCCGTGGACTTTTCCGGAAAATTCTAACGGAAAAGTTGTGTACATTCTTGTTGCAAAATCACTCTATTGTTTCCGGATGAAGTTGATCGTTTTGTGCTTTGCAGGCTCCGGATCAGCGTTTCATGTTCGACACAAAAATTTTTTAGACGCACGCAACACATGCAGCATAGTGTATATGAGTTACAATATCACGAGTATTGCCAAAATTTGCCTTGTTGACATTGTTTGCGTGCGGCAAGCCTAAAAATGCATCGGATTTCGCGGCAGGTGAGAATACAGCGCCTTCCACGACTTTATTGCGTCTTAGTTAGTAGTAGTTGCGAAGAAATGTTCGAACGAGCCCTTTTGTCTATTTCTTTAGCGATTCATCGACAGCACTCTTTGGCATGCCTCGTCGTCGGTGATGAATATGCCCCGAAGCACGACTTAGAAGACAATTCTGGTTCTAGCAAGGGCAGGCTGTCGTTTGATGTCCTCTCTACAATCCCGCACTAAAATTTGCATTAAATGCCTGAAATGAACATATTCCAATCATGACGTGCGCCTATAGAAACTCTCCGCGTAACGGCTGTGTTGTCAAGTCGATCCAATCGGGACAAGTTGCCAATAATATTCCTTGTCAAGGGAGCTCTTGGCGGACCAATCGAGCGCGGCTAGGTGCCAACCCATCCAGCTGGTATTGACTGGGGATTCGACGGAGTGACACTCGACACCATTCACTGCTTGGCCAATATGTATACCTTTAAAAAGGGTGCTAACTGAATCTGTATCGATCGATGAATGTGTTTGCATGAATATCCAAAGGAAATTTGACATGTTTCCTACAGTAGAAAGAGATGTACATTCACATGCCGTCGTGAAAACCCAAGGCTGCATCTCAACTACTGTAATAAACGCTTGTATCATATCACGGCCTTCGTCGTGGCCTAAAATGACATCCATTGGCAAAAGTATTGGGATTTCGCTGAAAGTTCAGAATGCCATGTCCATATCATATTTCAAAAGATATGGACCTTCATCAACTAACAGTCCACGAGACCATCGATGGGACCAGAAGAAGTTTGTATGGATAGACTTGGTCAATTTGCATGATTGAATTTACATCCGATTCGTCTGCTACTCCTGTGAATAAGAGTATGCCTCCATCAGACTCTGGAACACAATTCGTTCGCAAAATGATAGATAAACTGTGAGAAATGACGAGGATTCCGCACTTGAAGAATGATTACTTGCGAAACACAAGATATCTTATCTTGCAAGTGGCGAGGATTTTTTCTGCATTCATCTTTGCCATACCATTATAACTCGATATGACAAACGAGATGGGTGACTCAAAATAGTTGTACAAATTACATTGAAAATCACTATTGTTTATCTATTTCACTCATTTCTTATCCAATTTACGTCAAATAAGTGCCAAAATCACGGCCTTGATTGGGCCGATCGTTTCCTACCCTTTTTAGCGCGCTGGGTGAAAAAGTAAATTGACGAACTTATGGCGCAAAAACGAATTTGTCACAGTCAAAATGGATGTGGAGACAATTCAACGCATCAAAGCCTTTGTCAAGTTGCGCCGCAGACGCAGCTTGACTGTTGACGAAACATTGGACATCCTGTGGCTGCAATCTACCCTTCGTGAGGTCAATGCAGCAAACGTCACTGACGTGATCTCGCAGCTTCTCGGCCGTGCACCTACGACTGTGAAGAGTGTCCTTGCCGAGTTTCTGACCGCTGGGACTATTTCGGAGATCCTTCCTCCATCCAACACCACAAACCATCTTTCCCGTGTGCCTGACATCCATGCTGTCCGTGGACTCGTTCAACGATTCATTCGTGACTGCTGTGTGACCCGTACCCGGACCGTTGTCAAGGACGTCTTGTCCTATCTCGTTGAGAACAGTGTTGCGGCCGTGGCAAGCAGTCGAGGGTGACGGAGTACCGAATGACAAGAGCACATGAAGAGGCACGAGACGCATACGTGCATTTAATGGTGCCTACCGTGACGATTGCACCCCGTCGACCTGCTGTGTACCTTGATGAGAACCTCTTCAACCACCACAACGCTCGGCATGCCGACAGTTTGCATGATCCTACGGATGACACCATGACGAAACACAAGCACAAAGGGCGACGCTACTGCTTCATCGCCGGTATCCTTGATGGCGGTTCCGACGTGTCCGGTCTGGACATATTCGTTTGTGGTAAGAAGAATGGCAAGACGGTGAAAGACTACCATTTAATGTTCAACCATGATTACTTTGTTGATTGTTTCGACAAGCTTCTTGACAAAGTTGAAGAACTGGGGTGGGCGTCAGCGGTATTCGTCATGGATAATGCCCAATATCATAAGGGCAAGCCGAAGTCCACGTCTAAGGGAACATGGAAGAACAGCGCGCTCTACGAAGCTTTTGTACAGTACCAGCTCCAGGATGTTTCGCCAACTGACCTGAAGTCGACGATCTGGAAGACGTTGAAGAGGCACCTGGATGAGCATGTCCCTCCTGTCGTGGTGTCCATGCCGCGATCGCGTGGCCATCATGTCGTCTACGCAGCACCTGGGTTTTCCAAGCTACAGCCAACCGAAATGGTGTGGGCCAACGTGAAGGGTAAGTCGGTCGTGCGTATACCTCGAATACGACCTTTCAAGATGTCTACGACCGGTTGGAGCGTGCTTTTCACGAGTTGGACTCCGGTGTCATCTGCAATACTATCAAAACATCGACGGAAAATCTCCTTGCTCTGCACCAGGCGCTCCGTGCTGCCGAAGAAGTGGAGCCCATCTGCTATGACCAAGCAAACAATAGCGACACACCTCTCAACGAAGACTCGTCTTCATCTAGCGAGAGTAGTAGTTGTGAAAGCGAAGGCTAAATTTTGTCGTAATTGATATCTCTAAAATGTAATTCAATTTGATTTTGTATTCAACAGGTTCTATCAGATTGAGTATTAAAACTATCTCTCAGCAATGTGATTATAGATTTTCAATAGTTATCCTGGTCCCCTCGATGGTCTCGTGGACAATCAGTTTCGAGAATTGTCCGTAGCAACAACTTGACCCATCATTTGCTCGCGCCAGCCGCTTTGCTTTGTACGATCGAATGTGCTGATTTATCAAACGATACTGTTCTTTCCAGTGACTGAAATTATGGTTTGTCAGTCGATGGAAACTGAAGGTCAATTTCTTTGAACGCAAGACACAAAGACAGCCTTGACTGTCCAAAACGAAATCACAACGTGTCTTCAGAGTATAGACTCAGAGACACGTTGTAGATTCAATGCAATTCCAAGGAACCTGTCAAACCATATATTCGATGGCGGTCAGCAAGGCCACAGAGCAGTATGGCTGGCAGCTCACGACATAAGGAGCGCGAAAGACTATAGTGATATGCGCATTGTTCAACGAAACGTACAATCCCGATCTGCAGGATGCAATGCAAGGAGGAGGAGAGGTGTACTTTATTGTGTGAGGGGTG